ACTCACACGCACTCTCACACACACTCACACACACTCACACGCACTCTCACACACTCTCACACACTCACACATACCACACACATCACACACTCACATGTACTCTCACACACACTCACACACTCACACATATACCACACACATCACACACACTCACACACACTCACATGCACTCTCTCACACACTCACACACACACTCTCTCTCACACACTCACACACACACCACACACTGACACACACACACACACACACACACACTCACACACTCTGCCCCCTTCGTTCGCTGTGCCGCCCAAGAGTCCCTCGCATTTATCACAGCCCTTTCCATCTGAAAGTCACATGTCTCCTAAGAGTGAGGACGTTTTCTGACAACCCAATGGTCACATTCAGGAAACTCAGTGTTGTCACATACAGTGACCTGACACAGCCCCGCAAAGTCCTTTGCAGCTTCTCTTTGGTGGATGGTGACAGTGGGGGAACCAGGACCCCACCGAGGGTCCTGTCAGCTCCAGCCAGATCAGCCCCCTGCCTGAGTGGCGCCTGCCCCCAGGGCGGTGACAAGACTGCCCGCTGAGAGGGACAGCCAGGTCCGCGAGGCCAGTCCAGTGTCTGCGTCGGGCCCTGCCCGCCCTCGGCCCTCTCCTTCCTTGTCCCCGTTTGCCCATTTCCTCACTGGGGGCAGGGTGGGCGTCCTCTTCTCTGTGACTGACAAGTACTTCGTGGAGTGAATTTGAGGCCGTTCCCCCAAACCTTTCAGTCATGGGGAAAACACAGGACTCCCCCCGCATGGACATGTCATGTGATCCTGGGGCTGGCGGAGGCCCCGTCTTCCAAGGGCGGTTTGGAGGAGTGTCTGCCCTGCCCAGAGTTCAATCGGCGCTCTGGGGACAGAGCTCGGGACTGGACGGGATTTGAAGCCTTCCGGCCCAGCGTGGACCAGACGGCTCCAGAGGGAGCACGCCATCGGGGCTGCACCAGCGTCACCACACGCGCAGCTCTAAGGGCGCCTGTCCCATTTCCTTGCTCCACAGTGGGGGGCCGGCCACCCCAACCAACACACGGCCCTCCTCACTCTGCTCAGAGTTCTGCCTCCTGGCCCCGGCTGAGGCCCCAGCCAGCCCCGAAGCCCCCGCCCCAGGACCCAGCACGAGTCACAGGTCAGCCACGGGAGGCAGCCCAGCCCCTTCCCCACAATGGTGTGGGACCGAGACCTCCCTGGCCAGGTTCTAAGTATTGGCATGGTTTAAGGCAAACTTAAAACCCCTGCCTCGGGGAACCGCGAAGACATCGCTAAGAGAGGAGGAGGAAGCCAAGGCCGGAGTACCTGGGGAGATGGTGTGTGTTCCTGGGTCCAGAGAGTCAATCGTCTTGACATGTCCGTGCCCCTCCCCCAACCCAGACTTACAAAGTCAACAACATCCAACCCAAACCCCAGCAGGCTGCTTTTGTAGAAACTGACAACCCGATTCAAAGCTTCATACGAAAACGCGAAGGACACAGAACACCAAAGCAGCTCTGTGAAGGGCGGGCAAAGGCACGGGTCGCACGGCCCGACCTCGGGGCTTAGCACAGGCTGCAGTAACACGGCAGCACGCCTTGTCATCACGACAAGTCATCAGGGGCCACAGCAGGGTCCAGAGACGGGCGACCGGTAAAGGCAGCCGGAACAAGAGGACGCCCGGATGCAAAAATGAGGAGCTGAGAGCCACCCCTTCCGCCTGGACGGCCCTGAGCTGGGACCCCAGGCTGCACAGCGCAGCAAGGCGGGGACTGGGCGCCCCGAGGCCCAGGTGGGCGTGCACCCCTCACTCAGGACTCCGAGGGGCTGGGCCCTCCGCCCACCGGCCTGGCCTGCTGTGCCCTTGGGAAGCATGCCCGTGACCAATGCCACAGGCACCGCGGCCCCAGCCCAGTGGCAGCAGCGTGAGCAGCGGGTCCTGGGGGCCGGCGGTCGGCTCTGCCTCGTGTTTTGTTTTCCCTCCTAAGGCGGATGCACTGAACATGTTTAACTGTTATGATTCAAAAAGCAGTCAGTGCTCTTCTTTAAGATAAAAAGGTCTATATCGTTGTCTAAAACCTTGACATCCGTGTGCAGGCAGAAGTGTCTTACGTGTGAGTTTGTGTGTTAACCTGTGACATTTTGGAGTATGTGTGCAGGCAGAAGTGTACAGATGTCCCCTGAGACCCCTGTCCCTGCTTACTCAGTGGGACACTAGCCTAGGCGCTGCTGAGAAGGGACTTTGCAGCTGTAACCGGCTTACCAACTAGCTGACTTTAAGACAGAGAGATTATCCTGGATTATTGGGGTACAGCCCAGTCATCGCATGAGGCCCCAAACCAGAAGGGGAAGACAGGAGGGGTGAAGCAGGAGGGGAAGTGCTGAGGAACGTGGGTGACCTCTGGAACCTGAGAATGGCCCCTGGCCCACAGCAGCAAGGGACCTGGACCTCACCCTGCAGCCGCGGGGACCGACCCTTCCCAGGGCCCCCAGCTGGACCGCACCAGGGCACCGTCTGGGCCAGCCCACCTCTAAGGCCACTGGGGGAAGCCCTGTCCCCAAATGGTGAGCCATGTGGGCCCATTTCACAAAGGTCCTGGGCACAGCTGTCTTTGCTCTGAGGCCACCTCCACCCTTACCGCCTAACCCGCATGTCCTCCTAGTGACCCGCTGGCCCCAGGCTGGGAGGTGGCAGCACCCTTGAGACGGTCCCACAGATCCTCCGAAACAAGAAACAAGCCAGGAGTCCACGCAGCTGCTCTACCCTGACGTCTCCTGGGGCAGCTTGTGCCGCGGACGACCCCACAGCCAGGGCGGCGAGGGGCCCAGGCAGGCACTGACCACCCCCAGGCTGGGGCGTGTTTGGGATGGAAGCCCCTCTCCTGGCCACACACACCACACGCCACACAGCACACGGCACCCGGAAAAGAGCGTCACCTCCTAACGAAGACACTGTGGTCGCCTCCATCTCTTCAGTTCTGGAATCTTCTGAGTTGCTGCCTCCAGCCAAGGGTGGAGAAGTGACTGGGGGAGCCTCGGAGAGCCTGGGTTTTAGGGACATGCCCTGGAAGGGGAGAGAGGGACAACAGCTTCGTCATTAAGCAAAGGCGTGTCCTGTGAACACGCATGTGGGGAAATCTCAGGTTTAGGCTTATTTGTTTGTAAAATAAGATCTTTCCAAATTTTAGGAAAAGATCAGAAGAAGCCATGAGGACTTCATCTGAGGTAGGAGGACGTCTCGGGCTGTCTGACCCTGGGGGCTGTCGTGGGCCACCACCACTGACCCGTGTCCTGGGACCCGCCAGGCACCAGAGTCTTCCCGCAGGTTGATGTGCATCTTGGCCGTGTTTCCCTAAGAGGGGACCCCCCCTCCACTGGGCACGGCCAAGCGTCCCCACGCCCCGGCTGGAGGCCCGCCTGCCGTGCAGCCCAGGGCAGCTCAGCCTGCGCCCATCACCATCTGGGTGCCAAGCCCTGAGACAGATGGTGGGAGCGGAGGGTTAGCCCCTTTCACCCCCGACACACCCTTCCTGCTGTCCCCCCCTCCTGTGTGTCATTTTGGGGGGGCATGAGCTGGGAACACTCACTGATCCGGCCTTGCCTGCTGCCCACATGGCTTCCCCTCCTGACTTACAGACCCACTAGTCCTCTGGGGCCCCACCGGCGATCAGGAGTCATAATCAGAATGTCAGGGTCACCTCAGGGACCCAAGGAACATTTAGAATCAGAAACCGACTTTCAAGAGCATTTCTGTGCCAAGACGAGAGGAAGAGGAAGCCAGCCCAGGCTGGGGCCGGCCTGGAGACCCTGCCAGGGCCCCCGAGGGTGGGCTGGGCCTCGGCACTCACCGCGTCCTCCCTGAGCAGCTCCCGGTTCTCCTGTCCGCTTCCGAAGTCTCCCGACGCCTGAAGGGTTTACGGGGAACAGAAAGGAGCCGCTGACCGAAGCCCCAGCAGGGCCTGGAGAACACACCAGCGCAGCCGGTGGGAGGCGGAGGGACTTGGGTCTTTGTGTGGCCGCCGGGGGGGGCACAGCCCTCCCCTGCGTGGTGTCAGCTGGTCATCAATGAGGCACAACCGACCAGACCAACTAGAACGTCCCTTTGGAAATCAGTTTGGCTCCCAGTCAGACACTCAGAGAACCGTGAAAACACGTTCCTTTCTGTCCGCTTGCCCTCCTGTTCCTGGGACACTGTCCTGGGAAATCACCCAGAAGAGAAGGCCAGCTGAGTAACACTTGGGCACGCGTTTATCCATGTGTAGGACGCACAGTGGACGTGGAACAGAAAGCAGGCGGCCCCAGGGCCGTGGCTGGATGACTTCTATATTCACAGCTATGTCCACTGGGGACGCGTTTTGTGATCTGAAGCTTCCCTGGGGACACGGCTGTCCTCCATACCTGGGAACGGGTCCCCTGTGATTGTGTGCACACACACACACTCACACATACACACACGCATGTACACAGTCTCTAATAAACACACTCACACTCACACTCACACTTGTGCCGTGGTGGCCGCTTTCACCTGTGCCACCTGCTGGCATGCTGGGGGCAGGTTCCCACGCTTGCTTTACATTCTGTGTTCTGCAGGGAAAGTCCCAGGGACGGGGAGGCTCTTTCTGACACTACGGGTAATTAAAAACGTCACCAGGTTTCTGTACCTAAAGTGGCATCTTTCAGAGACCTTTCCAGCCCCGTCACTTCAGGGTTCCCGGGGGAAAGGCAGCCCCTCTGGCTCGGGCCCCTCCCACGGGGCTGAGGGTGGGGAAGGGAGACTCACCCCGTCATCGTCGTCATCGTCATCGTCCAGGCAGTGCAGGGGGCTCACCTGGGGGTCCCCACGCACCCTCAGCTCTGCAATCATGCCCTGGACATAGAGGGACAGAGAGGTCACCAGTGGTCCCACCTTGCTCTAGCACCCGGCTTGGAGCCTGGCACCGTCCGAGGTCAAGATTTCAGTGGGTGACATAAACCGGAGCAAGAGGGGCCCCTGCATGGGTCCGACTTCAGAGGCAGCAGGAAATAGCATCAGGTTAACTGGGCGGAGCCCTGAGGTCACCTTCTCATAAAACAAAAGTCAGAGGTCAAGGACAAAACTGAGCCCACGGTGCTGGGAACAGCTCTGGGTTCGAGCGCACACGCCGCTCAGCCCAGGGTCAATGTCGTTCGCTCGCCTGCTCGCCCTCCCCACCCCTCTGCACATGCTCCCGCGTGTGCTCTCGCCCTGCGTGCAGCGAGGCACCAGGACACGGCAGTGACAGGGCCCTGCGTATGGAGAAGAGGAGAGCGAGCCCAGGCCGGGGTCAGCCCAGGACGAGGTGTGTCGGTGAAGGTGGTGTCCCTGAGGGGCGACAGGCACTGGGCGGGCAGGACGGGAGGGGAGCAGACACAGCCAGGCAATGTCCTCCACTGTGAGCGCACAGGGTCCAGAGCGCGGGGACACAGTCCACCCGCAGGGAGCAGGGGACAGCCGCCGGCTGGGGCAGCACAGGCGACGAGGGCCTGAACCCCGCTGCACGGGGCCTTCTCTGTGAGGCCCCCAAAGGGCAGGGGACGGGCCTACAGGTGCGGCTGTGGGCCCCGCGGCCTCCCAGCACCAATGGGGCTCCCACAAAGCGAGGTGGACCCTGTGCCTTTGATAGGTGACGTCCCCAGGACACAGAAAGCAGGCCAAGCTGCTCGTGATTTTGTCTTGGACGCCACTTGCTGAAAGGTTCTCCCCACCGGGAGATCATTAGTGTTCTCATGTGCTTTCCCTGTATTTTATGGTTTTTACTGAACGTTTTCGTCCACTGGGATTAACTTCAGTGCATTTCTTCCTAACGGCGAGCATGTTTCGCCGACTGTAACGATCCCTCTCACGGCAGGACGGCCTGGGTCGGGGGCGGCAGACGCTCTCTGCCACAAGGTCTGCGTTGTACCCGGTCTTTGACGAGGACAATATGTAAAAGACGGGAGAGGCCGTCCAACCAAACTGTAGGGACACTGAAATTTTATTTCATAAAATTTTCACCGGTCACAAAACATTCTTTTTTCCCAACCAACTAAACATGTGAGGCCTTTCCATCGTGCAGACAGCAGGCTGGGCGTGTGCCGGGGCCTGTGCTGACGCCTGCCTTGGACATTCTGTTTATTCCTCCAAAGGCCCTTCGGACTCCCTTTATCACTGACCTTCAACCTCACGACCTTCCTGTCCACACCAACAAGGAACATGCGACAGCAAACCAAACAAACACCCCGAGTGTCCCCAGCTGAGCCCTCGCCTGATGACTCCACCGTCTCTCGGCTCAGCTCAGGCCGCCTCCTCCAGGAAGCACTCCCGGACTCCCTCCCCAGGAGGGTTAGGCCCTCTCAGGGCCAGTTCGCCTGACTCCGCAGCCCCCCCCTGCCCCCACTGCTGACGGTAAGGCCTGTGGGACAGCAGGAGGGGCCAGATCTTACAATTCCAGGAAACTGCACTTGTGAACACTTCTTGGGGGCACTTTGTATGGGGTGGGGCACTCTGGCTGGCAGGTGGGGGGCAGGGTGATGCATGTCCGCTATGGCCGCCCCCCACACCCACACCATCTGTGAGGCTCTGAACCTCTGACAGATCGGCTCACCACAGCCTGAGTAAAGGGGGCGGAAGACGTGGGTCCCAGCCACCTGCCTAGGGCAGGTGCGTTCCCAAGGACACAGTTAGTTGGGGAAGACGTCACTAGTGCAGAAGCCACGAGACCCACTGCAAATATTGAACGGACTTAGAACTTAACGTTAGGAAATCCAGGGGTTTTGTTAATAAAGACCATTTAAAATCTTGTCACTGCTACACCCCACGTCTTAAAGTCGTGTGTAGATGGTCAGGACCACACACCGTGCAAGCAGGTCATTGAAGTCTGGGTGTGGGGGCTGCCTCTCTGGGTGGTACCCCGACCCCCAGTATCCCCTGGGGTGACCTCTGACCTGTAAAGCCATGTCCTGGCTGGAGGGCTTGTAAAGGGGGACGCAGTGCTCCCAGGCCTGACTCCCCTCCACCTCCTGGCCCCTCCCTCCTCTGCTGGCTGACCCCCTTAAGTCAGCTTGGTCCCTTGTCACCCACCCCAGCTGTCGCTGTGACCGGGCCACACCCCTAATGTCCCATTTCCTGAAGTTGGGACCACCTGGCCGGCATCCCACCCAGATTCCTCCCTGGCTGTCTGCAAGGCAGCTCCTGGCCGCCTGGTGGCCTCCTCCTTCAGGGTCACGCCGGGGCGTCCCCTCCGTCACAAATACCTTTTCTTTTACTTCTCCATTCAATGGAGTCAGGACATCGCATGGCTGCTGGCACTGTGTCTCGGTTATGCCAGCGAATGTCACTTCCGATGAGCAACAGGGTCCCAAGTGTTTGTCGTAACAGGGGTCTCTGTCAGGAGTGGAGGGTCTGGTGTGGCTGGGCTTGGGGGCCACGGGGGAAGGAGGGCTGCAGGGTCAGGGTGCCACGCCTTCCCTCCCACTCCCACCATCCTCGGCTCCCCGTCAAGCCCATCCCGGTGGCCCAAGCCTAGGTGGCCGCTGGGCAAACTCTTGGCTGCAGTGGCCAGGCGCTCATTTTTACGTAACGAGGCCAACAGAGCCCCACGTGCAGCACAGTGACAATCCACGCTCCTCACTGAACACAGAAGTGAACGTGAAGGTGCCGGGAACAGGGCAAGCCCCGCCCTGCCCGCCTGGAGGCTACGGACCAGGGTCCAAGGCAATTCATGGGCGGTTTGTCTGCTAACAGACGACGGAGGCCAAGAGAAGCACAAAGAAACCCCAGGCGAAGAGGAGGTGGCGCCCCAGACAGACAGAGGGAAACAGCGAATGAGGAAAGGAACCACTGTTCGCAAAGAGAAGCCAAGTCGAGGGAAATGTGACTGCAGAGCCTTTGAAATGGGCAAAAAGGAAAGGCAGACAAACACCGCCAGGGGCTGCAAGCGACGTGTCCATAAGCAAAACACTGCAGCAACGGGCGGGACAGACGCCTCCCAGGACACTCGTTACCAAACCCGACTCCAGGGTAAGCCTAAAACGCCCAGCAAGGTGCCAGGGCATTGCTGACAGGACACAATAAGGTTCTGGCCCGGGCTGAGCACGCGGACACCATCGGGGGACACCCAATTCCCTCCCTGCACCCTGAGCTTTCACCTCTGCCAAATCTTTTAAGTCACATGAACTGAGTGATTCTTTCCCAAGAATCTCAATTTGGAAAGTCGGAAAAACCCTGTACGAAGTCGATTTTATCTTCACTTCCAGCAGACAATGTGCTTCTCTCCTCACCTAGCTGGAATCTGACCAGACTCCTACACGGAAAATTCCTGAAGCTTTTCGTCTGCGGGGACACAGGAGCCAGACCGCACTTGACTCAGCTGGATGTGACGGCGAAATCAATGGGAATGTACCACAGGCCGCCGGGAGCAGGACCACCGCCCAGAGCCAAGCTGAGAGCTGCCCACACTCCTGTCCGCATCTCTCTGCCCTTCAAACACGCTGCTGGGACGGTTGGCACCACGGGGGTCTTCTCCAGGCCAGATTAACCACATAAACACTTTAAATATCCCAATGGTTTTAAACAGGTGACAAGATGAACGGGCAAATGACAAACTGCGAAATAAAATGTGCAGTGTACAAAACAAAGGATTGGTTTCTTTCATATGTAAAGAGGTTGTATAAACCAATAAGAAATGGTTGAACCCATCAAAACAAAGAACATAAACAGGCCAATCACGAAAAAGAAATACAAATAACCAGTAAACACGTGAAAAAATTAAAGTCTGTCTTCACTCACAACCAAGAAATGCAAATTAAAACACCACCAGTGGCCTATATGTCCAACTGGCAAGTGTGTTTTTGCACAGATGACATGCAGGCCTGGTGAGGCGCAGGGAGGAGGCACGCTGCACAGTGGGGTGACCACCTCGCTCCTCCGTTACCACGCTGAGGTCTTGGCAGCCTATGCCCCATCGGCACGCAGGCAGCTTTTTTGTTAAAGTGTCAAAGGCCGGGGGAACTGCGGGGGGGAACTTTTCCATCTAGAAATGCTTGGGAGATCACACAGCAAATTGCCATGAAACACAGCACCTCCCTGGATGGGACAGCTCTGTCTGGCTCCTTCCAGTTAATCATGTTTGAGGATCAAAAGGAAAACACAAAGAGGCCCAGTTTGGTATCAAGGTCCTGCTAGCTCCCAGACCCCATGGGTGAAAGTTTCTGCCAAAGGTGAAAGGTCAGCTTTCAGAACCTGAGTCACCAGGGCTTAGAACAACTCAAATCAAGTAGCTTTTGTCTGGGCAATAATTAACTTTCTGTCCTCTGGGGACACGTCCCCCATCGGCACACACAGGGACCCCTGTCTGGGCTGCCGGGCAGGGGCATGCCAGCTGCAGACCGCTGTCACTGAGGGAGGGTGCCCACACTGTGTGTCCAGGAGGCCGTGGCTCCAACTAAGGTTCTAAGAAGTGTAGGGGCTGAGGGCCCAGGAGAAAGACCCCACCTGGGCTCTGGGATCTGCCTCCCCCAGCTGAGCCAGGCCTGTGGGGAGGGACTTCCCTGGGTACATAGTGGAGGCAGCCATATGCCCAGTACCGCTAGGGAAGATGGACCCGGAGCCGCAGGCTGCTCAGCAGTTTGGTAAAAACAATAATAATCAGGACAACTGATGTTGGTGCTGGGCGTGAACCTCAACCAAGTGGGGTGCAGCTTCATGGGGTGCAGCCCAGCCCCACTTCGACCCTCCAATGTTGCCATCTTCAAATTCTTCATTTGGAACATGGGTCCCTCACTCTGTGCACAGATGGTGGCAGGGGTAGCATTCTCTTAGGAAGGTGGTCCCCAGGGGGCCTCAGGAACCAGAGCACCCAGGTGGCCAAGGGGCCAGAGCACCAGAGAATAAAACACACTAGAGCCAGGAGGACCAAGGGGCAGGGACCCCTGGGGACTACAGTCAGGTGAGACTGACGGCCACTGTCCCTTGTCGGAGGGGCCGGGCCCCACCCCCAGGGCTGATCTGGCCCTCACCCAGCAGCTGCGGGATTACCTGGAACTTGTCGGGGTCCGCTCCTCCGGCCTGGGCCACGAAGAGGCCAGAGCCAGGCTCCAGCTCCAAGCCCCGCGGGGATCGTGCGAAGGGCACCTTCTGGAACTCGTCGCAGTCCACAAAGAGTGCCGCGGTGTTGCCGTCCACGCTGAGTGCAAGGCGCGTCCACTGGCCGGTGAAGGCAGGCAGGCGGAAGCTGGCGGCCGTGTGCGTCTGGGCTGTGCCAGGCTCCGTGTACAGCAGCTGGACGTGCTGGTGGCCATCGCGCACGGCCGACAGCTTCACGCCCACCGAGACCACTGCCTGCGCCGCGTCCGTGATGGCGAACAGCACCCCCGCGCCCTCGGTGGCCGGCCGCACGTGGAACAGCAGTGAGAAGTCACGGAAGAACGGGCTGGGGAAGTGGTACCGGGCCACCAGGCCGCCACTGGCGTCTGGGCCGAAGACGTAGGCCGGCCCCACGTCAGGGTCGTCGATCTGGGTGACCTGCTGGGGCGGGGGCTCCCCGAGCAGCTGCAGGAGCCCCACTTCTGTGCCCACGCTCTCTGCGAAGAGGAGAAAGACACCTCATGAGGCTGCGCGCAAGGATACTGAGTCTCTCGCCTACCATCCGCCCAGCTCCACTGGGCTCTGCCAGCCACCGCGTGTCACCCAGGCGCCTCGCTGGGCCAGGACACAGCGGCCACAGCCACCTCACCCTCCCATCAACCTGCTTGCAAGTCCAAGGTGGACGCAGCAGGGACCATCCCAAACCA